GAGTGTGCATAATCGTGTATTGTTTTCGATCTGCCATTATTGAGAATATAATTTTGTTTGTTTATCAACTCTCGGCTCTGACTTGTTCTTTGGGCCACAGCCGGCGTCTGCTGGCGCGCCAATAAGGACCACTTCTAAATTGTCCACGCTTTCGTGGTGCGGTTTGGGGGGCCGATACTTCGGCTCTTGGAATTAGCCCAGCGATCGCCTCCCGAATTAACGGGACCTGTGTGACAATTAATCTGGCGTCCGCGACACAGGACCTTTTGGTGCACAGTGTGTCCAAAGTAGCGAGAAAGAGCCTCGAGTTGTTGATAGTGCTATCGGAACGATTTGGTGTGTTGTTCAGTGTTCTCGTTAACGAGTGCAGGGGAGTGTTCCGATAGACTGATTTAGGCAGATACTTTTTGCACACGGCAAGGTTTTATTTGCGAGACACCATGGATCTCGAAAAGTTAGTAGCTCTTGGTGAGAACATGGGTCTTTCTGGCGCCGAACTACGAAAGTGGGTCACCCAGAAGGAAAAAAAAAGAAAAAGAGAGGGCAAAGAAGAAAAGGCAGCTGAGCTGGAAAAAGAAAGCTTGGCGGTCGAAAGAGCCAAAGCGGAAAAAGAAGCTGAGTTGGAGAGAGAAAGGTTGGCAGCTGCGAGAGAGAAGGAAGAAAGAGAGGCAAAGGAGCGACAGCTGAAGGAAGAAAGAGAGCAACAATTGAAGTTGGAATTGGAGATAGAAAAGTTGGCAGCTGGAAGGGCGAGAGAAGAAAGAGAGGCAAAGGAGCGACAGCTGAAAGAAGAAAGAGAGGCAAAGGAGCGACAGCTGAAAGAAGAAAGAGAGGCAAGGGAGCGACGGCTGAAAGAAGAAAGAGAGCTGCAATTGAAGTTCGAGCTGGAGAAAGAAAGACTGGCAGCTGAGAGGGCAAAAGAAGAAACAAAGGAAAGGGAACGGCAACGACAGCACGAGATGGAACTCGAGCGGCTCCGTTTGCAACAGCGAAGTGAAACTCCCGTCCAAGCTAGAGTTGAAAGCAGCGAACGGGAGGACCACGGCTTCCGCTTGAACCCAAGCAAGCTGCTCGTAGCGTTTGATGAAAGGAAGGACGACCTTGACGCGTACCTTCACCGATTTGAGACGATTGCGAGGAGTCAGAATTGGCCGGAACACCAATGGGCAACTGCTTTGAGTACCTGCTTGAGTGGTGAAGCGCTCAGTGTGTACGGCAGGCTGACGCTGACCGATGCAGCCAACTACGCAAAGGTGAAAGCTGCTTTGCTGAAGCGATTTAGATTTACTGTAGAAGGTTTCCGGGACAGATTTCGGACAGGAAAGCCAGCTGATGGTGAGACGGCTACGCAGTATGCCGCCCGACTCTGCCATTATTTCGACAGATGGATTGAACTTTCAGGGACAGCGCAGGAGTACGATGAACTTAGAGAGCTCCTAATTAGAGAACAATTCCTTACTAGTTGCCACCCAAGCCTGTCGCTGTACTTGAAAGAGAGGAAGGCTGGGTCACTTGAAGAAATGCTTGAATTCGCTGATCAATTCTTGGAAGCGCAAGCTGGAACTAATTTGGCCAAGGTCAAGAAGGAGTGTCCCGATGATTCGAAGAAATTGGCTCCCGAAGAAAAGAAGCGTGCACCAGAGAGCATTCCGCGATGTTTTCTGTGCAACCGAGTAGGTCATCGCGCGAAAAACTGTCGAACGATCTTTACGAGCCCTACGGCAGTAAAATGTTTCAAGTGTGGTCAGACTGGGCACAAAGCAGACGCTTGTCGGAACGGAGTGAGTCAAACTCACCAGGTATCCTGTGTGCAAGTGGCACCGAAATCTGATAATAATGCCGTCACCGATGGATTCGTAGAGTTGAAGAATGGGGAGAAAATTCCTATTGTGGGTGCTGTAAAGTCAAAACAGCCAACCGGTGTTACGAAGGGAATGCCAACGCTGCCTGGAAAGGTTGCAGGCAAGAAGATTACGGTTCTAAGAGACACCGGTAGCTCCACGGTTATCGTGCGGAGAAATTTGGTATGGAAAAGTGAGTTGACCGGCAGAACGAAACCGGTTTGCCTAATTGACCGTACAGTTCGGATGCTTCCCGAAGCAGAAATTGAGGTTGAAACCCCGTACTTCAGCGGGAAGGTTACTGCTTTATGCATGGCTACCCCCCTGTACGACCTTGTCATCGGAAACATCGCCGGGGCGCGAGGATTGAATGATCCGGAAGGTTTGGGAGAAGACCCTAAGATAGAGCCCTCGCCAACCCAGCGACCGCGAGATACAGTGGAGGAGCATCCCGTGACGGATCTCACTAGAGCCCAAGGTGAAGCCGCGGCGCAAGAGACAGCGAAGGAGAAAACAATCGTGTCGAATAATTACACGTGCTGGGCAGCTGGACGTACGTCGGCACGACCCCAACCGACCGACAGTGTAATGGTGACGGAGTTGGCCAGCCAAGCCCAATGCCATGACATTAACAAGCTGGTAAATAAACAGATAGGACCCGTTGAACGTTATGACCCGTTAACGGTGTCGGAAGTGACAACGATCGCTGAGACGCCGCCTCAAATGCCGTCGTTGGAAAGGGCTCGCCGAAAAAGAACGTGGAAACACAAGAAGAGATCGAGCGAGCACCGCAAGAAAGGGTGCAAGCGCCGCTCAAAGTACAGAGGATAAGCGCAGAAGTCGAATCAGAATGTGTTTGGCAGTGCTGAGTGCCATATGTTGTGTTAATGTTGTGTTATCCTGTGTCATAAGTGTCGAAGTGTCTGTGCTGTGATGTGATGTATTGTGTTGTATAATTGTTGTAATGAGAGAACTTTGTACATTTGTTTTGTTTGGAATGTGTGATGAAGTGTTGTAGTCATGTACCTGTGGCTATATTTCATGTGTCGTGGAATTGAACTACAATGTACAGTTGTATTGAGGATCTATTTCGAATGTGAAGTGTCATGAGAGACGGTTTGTGTTACAGTCTTTCAGAGTGTGTGGTGACTGTTCGCGCTCGTTTGTGTGGGTTTGAATATTATGAGATAATATTCTGAAAGTGGGGGGCAGTTTCACAGAACGAGCGCTAAAAATGGGCGCGCCGCCAAATTCTTGCGATAACGCTCGGGAGAGACGCCGGGAGGTCAAAAGAAAAAAAAAGAAAACAAACATCCAAGGCTCCCTGGGCGCGCGCTCTCCCCTCGGAAGTGTGGCTTCGCCAACGAACCTCCTCACCCCACATCGGCGGCCGAGCAAGCCCGCGAAATTTCTAGAACGAAAGAGGCGTGGTCACGCCGGGTTGAGTCATCCATCGCGGAGGGCATTCCAGCCGTCTCGCCCTCTCCCCAGCCTTCGCTGCGTAGCGCGCCAACGACATGACGAGAACCTTCTGGAATCTCGCGCGGAACGTATTTAATCGAGCAGCCGAGACGAGAGAGCAGGAGAAGACGGAAGTTAGCGCCAGAGTGCGTAGGGTATCCCGCCGTGTAGTCGGCGAAGGTTTTGTCCGTAGGAACAAAGCAGGAGAAGACGGAAGATAGCGCCAGAGCGTGTAGGGTATTCCGCCGTGTAGTCGGCGAACGTTTTGTCCGTAGCGACAAAGCAGGAGAAGAAGAAGAGGATTTCCACCTGATGGGTGAAGGCTCGAGCTACAGGCAAGAGCGTGTGTTTACCGCTATCGAGCGAAGACGCGTGACAACAGCTTCGTGTGTGAGGCCGACGTGTTTCCGGCGAAGAAGTTTGAAGCTTGGAGAGTGGCCAATTGAAGACGCGAGGTTTCCTGGAAGAGAAACGTCGAGGGTTGCGGAACGACAACAACGCGGGTCATTGAGTGAGTGATTCTCGGAAGAGTATCATTCAGACTTTTGTTCCAAGGACTTTGGACTGAATAGGTTTTCTATCTCTTTAGTCTTTAAGTGTCTTGGTTGTGAAATGCATGCGACTACATTGTAGTGTGTATTGTTGTCTGTGTCCGTTGTTTTGAGTGTGGCTGATTGTATTGTGTAGTACGTTGGTTGATTGGTGACATATTGTATTCAACTATTGTGGAGTGTGCATACTCGTGTATTGTTTTCGATATGCCATTATTGAGAATATAATTTTGTTTGTTTATCAACTCTCGGCTCTGACTTGTTCTTTGGGCCACAGCCGGCGTCTGCTGGCGCGCCAATAAGCACCACTTCTAATTGACCACGCTTTCGTGGTGCGGTTCGGGGGGCCGATACTTCGGCTCTTGGAATTAGCCCGGCGATCGCCTCCCGAATTAACGGGACCTGTGTGACAAAGGGTATCAGGTTTCGACTCGAATATACAACTTAAAATGGCTGTGTTTTAAAACTAATGTCAAATCATGTGAAGTTTGAAGCAATCCTCCCGAAATCCGGGACGAAAATGCAATGAAAGTCGGGAACATTTCGCTCACAACGGGTTCATATTTAGACAAAGGCAAGTACTTATTAGCGCTTGTTTATATAAGCATAGGTATTCTTACTATGAGTACTCCTTGCCCAGCGTAAAAGATAACCGTTGAGTATGTTTTTGCCCTTAAGTAGCTTTGCAAATAAGTCTTTTCAAGATAACATTGCCGATGCTATGAATTCACACTGCGTCTCGGTCTGCCCCATCTCTGAAGTCTTCCCACAGAACCCAGCGTGAAGTCTCATGGAGTAACACGGATACGTGACTGAGACTAGCCGCCTTTGTATGCATGCTGATGTTTTAAACCTTTTCAATTTTTTTCTTAGGTTTGTTTAGATTAATGAGGATTATGAGTGATTTGATATAATACATCATTTGGCATATATGGTTTTTATGTAGTTTTGTAAGATCATGGCAATATTCTTTCTTTCCAGATAGCCAAGAAAATACTTCATCATTGCTCTTGCGCCTAGAGCCTTAAACTCACCTTATTCTCAAGCCGCGCGAAAGGTGGCGTAACTGCTCTGATTGTTCCACATGTGCCTACGCACTAAAGACGTATCCCTTTTTGGCTGTCAGCTTGCCGCAATGGTGGTCGCTCTAAGTGGTTGCACAGTAGCACAGCTTCTGCCAGAGGCTCGGTGGTAGGCATGTGGTCTGGTTGGCGTACCAGTCCAGCCTCTGCACAAACAGCACTCGCCACTCTTCATTGCCGTCGTGCACTTCACCGTAGGCCTCAAAGTGGGCTACTGGCTGAGTGACAATCACCACCCGCATGGTTATGACGCTGCTCCACCGACCATCCAAGACGTAGGCGTCTGTCACGCTCCCCAACTGCCACCTGCAGCGGAAACATCAAGCTGAAGAATGCGACAAGTGATTTACAAAACTAAAACCCGCACCGAAATAATGTGAGATGTTAAGAAATAGCGAACTCGTACGTGTGCAGTGTAATTGGAACGATTCTTCTAGCTTAATTTAAACGCCATATATATTCCAAGGACTGAATTTAACATTGGGGGTATTTACGGGCACTTGCTAAATACCAAGCGCTCATCTGTGAACCAAATGCACTTTGAGCCCTTCCATAGACACACCTGGCTATCTATCTAACCACCTCTAGGTTATGCCGCTGCCACCTTCTTAGCTAGCAGGAGACAACTATTGGTATCAGAGGGTACGAGAGTTTCGCAAATACAAATTTTTGGTCATGGCGTGAAATTCATGAAAACCCTTGCGCGTGCGTCATCAAACATGAAACCCGCTCTTGCAGACACGTCTGGCCCATACTCGTCTACCATGGGCCACGGTATGAGGGTATATAATTGTTTGTAAATTTGAAATGTGAACGTCATGTTTACAAATTTTTCGTACGTACTGATGTGACACAGGAGTATTTTCGGGGGAATTATAACTGCGGTTGGCGTGTTGGTTACGCTTCTATATCAGTCTAATGAGCAATAAATTTGTGGTCCTATGAGACAGCATGCTATATTCAACGTCGCTCGACTCTGAAGGACTACGTTAACGAAATCTCTTTAAAAAATGCACATCATCACACCACCAAGTGCTCTTCGTTTTGATAATACTGACGTTTTCTTTATAAGTACAGCGGTGACGTCTTGGCAGATTATAAGTTGTTCTTTAAACACCATTGTATTTGACCTTCCTGGGAAGCCCATGATGTACGCACAAGAACTAAATTTCTGAAAAAAAAACAAATCAGTAAATTCAGTACCGCTTGATTAAAAGTCGAAAATTTTAGCACAGAAAATTACTTGCCGACTATTTCTCTTGAAAACCATGTACACACGGCGTAGAATCTTAGAAGTGTGGCAGCTTGGGATATTTGGTATGACATGACGATAGTTATAGCGCGAGAACAAAACGATGACAGAGATACAAGAAGGAAACGAAGTGCTCGTGTCTTTCGTATCCTTCTTGTATCTGTGTCATCGTTTTGTTCACGCGCTATAACTATCGTCTTGCGTAGAATCTGTCCGAATGTTATCATCGCCATTACGCTTAATTGCCAGCGGGTATCTTGAATTGTCGTCATGGCCACTGTGAACAAAATGCTCGCAAAAGACGGCTGACAAGTTCAAATAGGCTCTCTAGGTTGACAAACTTTTTCGGTGTGCTGAAAGCAATTGATGGCCCCATCAAAGAAGAGAATATTCCGTTTCTAAATTACATCCATCTACGCGCGTAGACATTTATGTAGCCCTCGGAGCGCTGCCTGAACACTCAGCTAGCTACATTACCAAATATATTAAAAATACCAACATCGAAAGATGTTGGTATTTAAAATGCCAACATCGAAAGACATCTTATTTAGCTTCAACTTAAGTGAGAACTCCAGAAAGCAGAGCCCACTCGTTAACTTTCTATATTTTTGGTTATATGCGTTGCACCGCTACACTATATAGTAAACCGGCTGCTATGAAGGTCTACTTTTATTCTTTACAACACGTTTCGTTGCACTCATCAACACGGGGCCTATATTTACCAGCCATGGCATTAGCTAAAATGTCACGAGAGCGTTCAACGTCGACAGTGGCATGCATTCCTTTAATAAGAGAAAGGTTTAGTTCAAACTGCCACACAGTTCTCGTATTTGAGCCCAGATGGTGCTTTAGCTAATTCACATGCCAGAATAACTGAAGTTAGCCTTCGGAAATGATATGTAGGGTAGGCGAAATTTTTTCTACGAGTGTCATATGTCAGCTAACTAAAACTACGTAGCTTTAGCGCTTACCTTGCGCACATAGTAGGAAAGTTGGCCTCGTTGAGGCTGTTGAGGTATTCCACTAAGAACTTGGCAAATGACTGCACATGACTTGACTGTTCATCCAAGTATGCTCCAGCTCCGATGCATTCACAGAATTCTATTGGCACAAATGCGTCGCTGCAGCTCCTGTGTGGAGGTACTTGATCAAGAAGGCTCAGACCCCGATTTGCGGTTAAAGATGCCTCCGAGGCAGAGCTGGTGTAGCGCAACAGATCCACGAGGGTAGAGTGAACATCGTACGCTGTAACCAAACGCCGCTGATTCACCTGGGGACATGAAGTGAGACATTAGGCAGGCCAACATTAGACGGGGACTTCAATCAATTTTTAGGTTTTCGTTTCTTGCTCATTAAATTTACATCAATAAGCTTTTCTCTAGCATGACACCACATAACTCGTACATATTTCTTGACAACAAATGCTTACAAATGGGCGCAAAATTCATCTTTGGCCATTATTTTAATTGGGAACGAACGCCTTTTCAGGACAGAACTACTACCGTCTATGCTTGCAGGAAAGCTAACTGATCACTTCGAGAGGCCTGATTATTGAACAGTTTGAAGCTTGGCATGAGAGCTTCGGTATTCGTCTGGCAAAGCTCCAGAAATCAGATGGTTTTATGTGGTCCACTACCCTCCTGTTCTCGCTTGATGACAAATCGACCGCACCGGAAAGGCCTCGGTGACAGGCCGAGTCCATCACCGAGGCCTTTCCGGTGCGGTATTGTCGGACCAGGTCGCACTTCCGGCGAAATTAGGCATTCGCGCTGTAAAACTGCGCAAGTGATCGACACACGCAAAACAAGTGTTCGTCTGCATTTACGCTTAGCCTTTTCACAGTAGTAATAGGTAGAGCATAATTAATCTTACTCCTACATAACGATCATTGTTACTATGTGCTGCAGAACTACTACAGAAAAACTTAATTGGTCATTGTAGCAATACACATTATTGTAAGCTAATAGGGTGGAAGCGAGGCTATTAGTGCTCAACTTTAGTTAGGTTCAATATAGGATGTGCTACCTATAAACATAACAATTGCTTGTCTGTACCTCTAAATTAACAGCGGCTCCGGGATGACGGCTTAGGAAGCTGCGTGGCAGCACCAAGTATCCGAACGGCGTCTTGTCCTCGTGACGACCGATGACCGTGGCGCGGTTGCTGCCAAACCTGGCACCGTGGTCACTCAGCATGACAAGCACGGTGTCTCTGAAAGCACGCCGTTTTTGCATGTTTCGTAGTAGATCATGTACAGGATCATCCAGCACTAGCAGTGCGTGGTCGTTGCTGTGCGGGATGTCCGAGAGCCAGACATACGAGAACAGCGGGATGCCGTGGTCGGCGTTCAACTCGAGAACATCTCTTAGGTACTCGAGTAATACCTGCGAGCAGGCAACGGCTCGAAATTAAAAACGCCAAAAGTGGTGAATTACAGAATATAAGGCAAGGTACATAATGTACAGAATACAGTCTTTTCTGATTGCAGCGCACACCACTGCAGCATAATGTAGCAGGATTGCGAAGTAGATTTTGATGTTGCAATCACAGCATCGCAGTTGGGTTGCGTAACGTAGCAGGCTGTACGGAACTTTGAAAACGTATGTCGCAGTCCATCTTCGTAGTGACGTTGTCGAATGTTATACACCGTAAAGATGAGTAACTTTTTTCGAGCGTGAATCGTAGGAGCTCGTTCCTTCGTAGAGTGGCATCGCCGTCGGTGGCGTAACTAATATAAGCAAAGTAACTTAATGACACAAAAAATGAAGAAAAAAATGATATACATGACTGAATGGGTTTTGATTCCGGGCCCTCAGCGCATCCTATCATGAGGAAACGCCAGTGCTTGAACGGCATTTTTCAGTAAAAAAAAAAACCTATGCCGCGTCATGTTGGCAAGGAATTTCATCAACCTGTGTAATGTACCGTGGCAGAAAAGTAGAATAACAATAAGACACCACAAAATCCTATTTGCAAAACGAGTGTGTGGCTTCAGTGCTCCACACCCATTGCATTGTACTCAGCCATTATTCATTGTCATCAGTTTCATGCGACTTCAACAAAAAACGCATAACGCCTCACAGATGCAGCGGGTATCTCGCTTATCCGCTCATAGACGAACAACCAACTTACACATCGGACTATGGCGCAAATACATGGGCATACGGCACCATTTCTATAGAAAAGAAGTAGCCTTTTTCAGCTGAATTTCAGAATTTATTGTCGAACTGTAGCCACCCCATATTATTTGCCTAGTGTTCTCGGGAGCCTCGACTGCCAATCGGCAAGTTTTCCTGGCTTTGCTAGAAAGCGTTGTCGACCTCCTTTAAGTATATACAGGCGAAGTGGCGCGGCTTGGTCGTTTTCACAGAAAGGCTATGAAATTTCGGCCTTTCCGAAGCTCGTGACTCTGATCAATGGTTTCATCTTAGAAACCACCTACCATCACTAAAGTCTAAAATTATGCAGCTTGTGGGCGAATGAAATAAACCTGTCAGTGTCTTAGGGCCAATAGACTGGTACATCTTTCTTGGCAAGAGCTGTGGAACTGTGGTAAAACGAGCGGCCCTTTTCTGAAAAGCTATCATCTGGAATGTGTTCATTGTCAGATATTTGGGCTACCTACTTGTTTTAGTGTGTCTCTTTAGAGATAGCAAAGCCAGCCGGGGGAACATATCCAGATTGACCTGCATGTCGTTCATGCAATCTAATAAGCTGCATGAATGATCCACTCTGTGTGTGATATTCCGCAAAGCGTCAACTAAGCATCCAACTACGCTAAGTCCAGAAGGTTGGGCAATGGGCCATTGAAAACACTGCTGAAAGTGAGACTAACCTGTGTCTTCAGGCGTGAGCCTGCGCAATAGATGTCGATGCCTCCGTTTTCTTCCATAGCATGCAAAATGGGCACGGGGTAATAGTCGGTTGGTGGCTTACAGAAACCCCGGTAGTTCGGGTAAGTGAATAAACCGTAGCAGGGCATTTCTTCCAGGAATAGAGTGGCATACCCTAATGCCGAATAGAGGTTCCACAGCAGCGGCAAATCGTCTAAATTGCGTTCACGAAAGATTCGTTTCACTTCGTCCGCAGGCTTTCCCAAGAGCAGCGGTATCTGGTTGCCGAAGGAGCTGTCGCCCACCTATGAAGCAATATTAAAAAAAATAAACATTTTTAAAGAGCGACAACGCATGACACATTCAAAATATAGCACATTTACTACTTCTGACAATACTAGAGTGTGTCAACTTTTAAGAAACTTACAGCATAGAAACATTTTATAAAAATAAGAAAAAGCAAGAAAACAAGAAAACTTGGACTTTTTCTCTGAAGTCAACCTTTAGGGGATGCGAAGCAGCAGCGGAGCACACGGTGTTGACACGGTTCAAACGCGTGTCGACGCGGGTGCTGGAAGAACTCTTTAAAGCGAAACTTGGTGAAACGTTAACTCGAATAAATAACGTCACCATTCGGCAACGTGCTCGGGTTCGCTGGTCCTCGCAACTCCAGCGACGGCCTGTTTAGGCTTATCCGCTTCGGCGGAGGTTTCTGTGGGTGAATGAGCATCGTCTTCCGGCATCCTCTAAATCACAGACAAACGAGCTGAAAAAGTGTTACCACTCGATGTGCACTCCAGCGTTGCGATTGGTCGAGAGGATGAAATGAGAAAGAGGGGACACGTACAGACATGTTCTAACGCATACTTTAGGTGCGCGTCAGGTTTATGGCGCGTTAACCAACGAGTCGGCGGTCTAGCGAGCGGCGGTCGCGGTAGCCGAGCGAGCGTGTGGCAGGCGAGAGAAAGCGTGAGGTTAGCGCGCACTGCGAGTGGAGCGTGAAGTCACTCGTACGGAGGGACAGCGTTATACGGGCTAGTCAAGCACTCCTTCGCGTCTAACTGAATTATAAATCCGTTATATTATTTCAATTTCGAATGGTGATGCATACCGGACCGTTAAATGTAACGCCACATAGTGACAACTCTTGAAAACAAAATCTGAAGTTTGCTGTGTTAAGCGCTGGTGCTTCTCACCTATTTACAATGGGAATTCAGGTGGCACTTGATTGGTGGCTGAATGTGATAACGGTCTCATGTGTTAGAGGTAAGGCTGCTGTGCTAATGAGTGCATGAGTGTGATGGCAGTCATTAATGAGGGTAGCTTATAGCTCCTGCAAGTGATCCAGGTGATGCTGCTACCTGTGTTGTAGAAGCAATATGCGGAAGGATTATATTAGTGAGCTGCCTTTACTATTCGCAGGCGACAACGACGTCTGACTTGCAGCTTGGGTCGATGTTTATAAAACACCACCGTGCTCCACATTTCATATTTCTGGTAACATAGCAATCGTATTATTGGGCCAACTTCTCTCTGCAGCTAGAGCTTAAACGTGCCGCAGTCGAGGCATTACCGCAAAGGAACCGTGCGACTAACATTCTATCACAATTTCAATTGTAACATGAAGAAAAAAGCAGAAACGTGAATGCCTGTGATAAAGCGCCATTCGCCTTCAGTCAAGCTATGCATCTTAGTGGCGGTAAGTGATCATATCCTAGTTCACATTTTTCCAAAACCTCATGCATAAACTTCCCAACAAAGTTGACTCCCTTTCTACAATCTCACAAATTGCAGTCGTTCTTAGTAAGCTAACGATGTTCTTGAAAGTTAGTAGAAAAAAGGTGCCAACTAACAAGTAACAAGTGCTTGTTCATGTGGAGGTCCACAAGTCCGATTACCATAGACAAGCTGTTTCACGAGGATATGTCTGTTAATTTAATTTATAAAGATTCATTAGTTACGCGCCTTGGAGTGAATATAGGGACACAAGTTGCGTGGTTAAGCAGCAAGTTGGTATTACGTGCACCAACAACAAACTAGGATGACTGGGTAGCAGTTTTTTAATGTAGTGCCTTAGGATGTTAAATGGTTAACACAAAACAAGGTTTAGTACAGGCAAGAGTTGTTATGTATAAGTTCAAGTACGAGCGATGTAGACATTGTTCTTACCTTGTTGTAGCCAAGGAGCTCGAACGCATTCAGCTCTCCTAAAAGAAACTGCCGCGTCCGCTTCATATGACGATTGAAGTTCATCCGTGACGTGGAGTCTATGCCCAGAACAAGCACATTCATGAGGCCCTTTCTCGGCTTTCCGGCCTTTCCGTCACTAATGTTTTTCAGTTGTGGAATGAAGAAGTAATCAGTGAAAAGGGTCTCTATGCCCGCTACGCACTCGACAGCCACGAACTCCTCGTCCAAGTTTTCACCAAAATTCATGGTTTGGCTGGGTCCCAGCTTGTAGCCCATGTCGTGAGGCACACCCGAGGTCTCATTTCTGAGCACTTCGCGGTACGTGCACACCGCATGCGCCGCCGATTCCACACCGTAGTACTCCGAAAGTCTGGTCACGTTCAAGTAGAGGGCTCGTCCGCGGCGATAGACGACTGTAGCTCTACGACCAGGACAGCGCCAACGAAGACTGATGTCTGTCTGGTTGGCATGGCGAATAGTTTTGTGGAACAGTGGGTAGAGCGGCATGGCGCAGCCAGGTGTGTCGAAGAGGCTTCCGATGGGCATCACTAAGGAAGGCCGGTGCCTGGAGAGCTTTGTTTTGGAATGAAGGGATAGGAGACTCAAAAAGATCAGACAGATCAGCACAATTAAACAGTGTCCAGCAGGTGACTTACGACGGCAGTGCATTGCATTTCTCCGTTAATATTCTTGATGATGACTACTAGAAAGAAAGTGGCATATACCCACTCGTACCGTTAAGGAAATTGGAGCCGCTTCATTACTGCATTACTCTCGGCCTGCGTTTCACCCTCGGATCTCTTTTATGGGTATGAAGTAGAGTTGAGAATAGAATGTACTCCTTATTGTGGGCATTGTACGAATCTGGGAAAACGCTAGAGGATAATTGAGCTTCACCTGTAAGAGTGGAACCGATAGCGCAATGAGGCCCCGTTCGTATTTTCTCGTTCGCCTGCCACGATTCCCTTCTAGTTGGACGTCTTCGGGACGTGGCGAGGATAGGAACCCATGTGAAGTTCACTTTGGCTGCAGCCGCTAAGTGCCCACTATGGCACACTTAGTTGGGTGAATTAGCCAAGTAATCACTACGCGTTAGGAACGCAGTACGTTTAATAACGTTGGTTCGCGATTTCATGATGCTCTAGTTTTATTTATTTATTTTCTTTATTTATTCGAGTACCTACAGCGCCCAATTTTGGCATTACATTAGGGGGGAGGAGACATAAAACTTGAAATTGATACAGGGTATGAATACCGATAACAAAACAAGTAAGCATGCTCAGCTTATACAGTGTGTACACATTCTCGGGAACACGAGGCAATCAAGGAAGTTATTTATGATGATGATGATGATAATGATGATGAATTATGCATTAGCAACTTTATGGTGTAAGCGAACTTTCTGGGTAGCGACTCAGAGTATATTCATGATTGGTTTTTTTGGCGCAAAACACAATCGCAAGAGAGGAAACACGTGTTCTTTGCTGCGTCGTGTTCTGTTATAGTGTTTTGTTGTGTTGTTGAAATAAATTAGCGAGGTATGGGGTAAACTTTTAAATCCCCTGCTTGTTTTGCAATGTATCTGGTGTTACGTCTGGTCTAATTCAAACTTCTCCATCAAAATATCACAATTTTAACGCGATTGCTTGTGCTACTTCACTACTGTAAAGAAGTTTTTTTATAAAGTTGTTCGGAGCGCAGGCGTAGCTGTTTGGTATGAGACATTGCTGCAACACAGATGGTCTAAGTTCTGTTCTGCCTTTAAAGTCAGCTTTTATTATTTTAGGGTCGAAACTCTTTAAGGCGTGGGTCTGTCCATTCCTTGTATGTATGTAGTAATACGTAGCCACCGGTGGTACATACCAGCTCTAGAGTGGGTACAACCCACAGGGAATGCGAGATGGCAGATGGCGGTACTTGGAGCATTTACTAGACGGACGCATGGACGGACGGACGGACAGACTCGCAGATGAACGGACCGATGGATATGCGTGGACGGACGGATGGATAGACGCACGAATAGACAGAGCAGTGGACGGAAGTACTCATGGACGGACGCATTGATGGACGCACGGATGGTCGCACGGACGGACGGAAGCAAAAACGAACGGATAGAAGCAAGAACGAACGGACGGACGGAAGCTGTTTTGCGAAAGGTGTCCTAGAGGTTAGGGGAGGATATTGATTCGTATGGCATTACTTTATATTCGTGACACTGTAATTTATTGGCGGTATATGATGTTGGTGAGGGAAAAAAAGAAACCACAAGATACACACTTCCGTTGACTGGAAGGATGCACTGCATGTTAGAAATCTTTCTGGATCTGTGGATTTAGTACTATATTTTGTGTCTTAGGAGAATGCGTGGCAGTACTTCCGACTGTACAACTTTATTTCTTGTGCAGACATGGGTCTGAATGGCCTATCTTAATACTTTCATACAGTGACTTGTATACCTCTGTACGTAACTGGAAACTTTTGGCATTGCTATCATTAATAAATATGAATGGAAGACCAGATAATTTTTTCACGCCTCAAGGAGTTGTTTCGGTCAGAGATTAAGATCTCGCAGATAAATGGCGAAGTGATGCATAAAAGCTTCGTACCACCAATTGTTAAGCTGAAAACTTGAACTATGCATTGCAGTGAAAGATCACACGGTAAGTATTTGTTTCAAAATAGCCTTTAAGAAGCACAAAATGGAACTAACATTCACTACGGTCAAATTCACGTCACAAGAACCATTGCAAGACAAGAAAATGGCACCGCTTGAATGAAACTTTTATTGAATAAAAAAAAGGAGTGAATATTGTACATGAAGTGCAACTTTTCCTGCAGTTTCTAGCCATTTCTAATCATTGTTGTTTGTTTCTCAGTCATTTGACAGACAGTTATTCCCGACATACTATTCACCATGATTAAAATCATCGCAAGCTTCGTTGCATGCACTCACTGGCGATATTCCGTTACCTTTGCGATACTTTTTGCTATCTTACTATTTGGCGACATCTTATACAATAAATACGTGCTCATACTGAGAACCTAATTCTGTGAATAACAATAAGTTTACTATAATTTTTGTTTACCAATATGTGCACCAGTAATTTCCAGCAACGGTAAAATGAAAACAAAAACAATGGCGCTTTCAATTTGTTAGGTATCAATTTTCTATCATTTTTTTCGCCTAGCAGCTGATGCACTTGATGCCTAACGCACATTGAACTGCACAGAGCATCGGTATCTATATTGAAGATTCAAAGCCAGGCAAAAAGGGTGTAGAAGAATGTGGTTAGGCCACAACCGAGAAACTTCGTCAGTGTGTCCGAACCATTCTCGACGAGGAAAGCCACCAGGCACTAAAGCAAAGCAAATGAGAATGTCATTTTTATAATAGAAAACAAACTATATAAAATCAATTCACCTATCACCTTTCAGGTTCTTCATGTCCAGTTGTCTTAGCTTTTAGCTGCCCCACCGCGCTGGTCTAGTGGCTAAGCTGCTGACCCGATGGCCGCGGGATCAATCTTCGGTGACAGAGGCTGTATTTTCGGTGGAGGTGAAAGTGTTGAAGGTTATTGCGCTTAGATATACGTGCACGTTAATGAACCCAAGTGATAGAAGTTTGCAGACCCCTCCACTACAACTATCTCCTAATTGTATCGTGGTTTCGGTACGTTAAACCCCACATATTACTACAATACTTTTTTTCGTTCAAGTAAAGTTTTCTGTCTTCACGCAATGCCTCTAAATTGCATAGACATTGCAATCTTAAGCGAAAGCAAAATATTGGAGGTAGGGCCACCACTAGATCGAACTCTCAATGACCCTTACACGAAAACTAACACTTTGATAATTTTAGTGTGCGTGCCCTATTACACTTCGCAAAATGATAAACACGCAGGTTTCTCAACAGCTTCGATACGCATTTCAATATCCCCCAAAATTTCATTCGATCTTCGGTATTATTGAGATTGACGAGTACCAGGGTGCTGTGTGTCCAAGGCGCTTTTCAAGTTCATGGTGTTTAGCCGATTGCAAGTTTACCTTGCTATCACTGCGAGGACCTACGTTACACTTTGCACAGGAAAATAAAATAATGAAAGTGCTTTTCTGCTTACTTCAGTGACATTGCCTTAGCGTACCTTTGATATTGAAAATGAACGGATAACATCGAGTAAATCGCGAAATATTCACGCATGCAAGCGTTCTGGTGAAATGTCAGAACAAGACCACCAGTGTCCGCAGAGTAATGCTTGTATATCTATAGGGGCGTAACCAAGCAACAATTCTCCAGCGGATATGCCAATTCTACCACAGCGACCTCCCCAAGCAACATTGGCCCCACATCCATACTCAATACCATCCTCTTCTTGAACAAATGACAAGAATGGCAAATACTAGGACACAAATGCAAATGCTATTCTTACTTCTAAGCTTCTGTTACGTCTACAGTTAAAAGAAAAAAAATGACAGCATATTTACGGGGTGGATGATGGAGAGTGGGACGAAGCTGGTGCCACACGCCCCTGCCGTGCCGCTTCGGCCTCCCGCTGTCGTATACTGCACGGTCCTCGCAGCGCCACCGCACAGCTTCAAGGCGCGTTACGGCCTCGCGCGCCCGCAAGTCGGAGTTCCTTCTTTGAGTGCGAGTCGCCGCCACCCTGCGCGCACGCCGCTCAGCAGCCTAGTCTATCCTCCGTCGCCGGGCCTCTGAGTGTGCGCGCGTGCCACAACTACGCTTTGGATGGATGGACGGATGTGTGTATGAATGGATGTATGCACTGTGCCCTTTAAATCAGGTTGTGGCTCACGCCACTTAGCTATAAAGTTAAGTACTATAACTGTGTGTTCAAGGATTGAATTTCACTCGCGCCTCGATTGTAGCCACCGATTTGTTAGCCTCCTCCTGGTTATTTTTACCTGTTTAAAGGCATTTTGCCTCCACTGTCCCTAAACCCCAATGCTTTGAAAAATTCGGCGCCATTATCTTCAAATATAGGGCGGAGCCCTTTATAGAACATTATGAAATGTTCAGCCGTTTCCTTTTCCTCTACACACGCACTACATACCGTGTATGTGCCTCCATATTTTGCTCGGTAAATCCTGGTGCATATTATTCCCGTTCTAGCCTCGAAGAGCAGAGAACTACCTCGAAAACAATCGTACATCTTTTCTCTTGCAGTTTTCTCCTTAAAATTTTGGTAGGTCTGCAGTGACGATTTCGTAAGCATTCCCTGGGTCCACACGCCCCTGCCCTCCCTTTCCACTCGCCCCTTTTATTGTACTATAGAGTGCCGCCAGGCGTACGGCGCAGCCGAAGAACACGTCATCTTAGTTGCGCGATAGTCTCTCTTTCCTTCCGCACGATTGACATCGATAATTTTTATACAAGGAACGCCCTCTACCGTGTCGTACCATTCGCATTTTTCAGCGCATAGTAGAAGTACCGCCCTCTATGGCTGGTTCAAGAAATAACGAGGGGCGGTTACCCACAACGGGGATGCACAAGCCACGCTACAAGGAGCTCGCCTCTAAAAACTTGGCTT